TCATGCAAGTGACCACTCCAGATGCCAGCACGGATCGTAATGTCAGCTATCCAGACACTGTTCCAAGGGTTCCATAAAAAAGCCAGAGCGTAGCACCGTGGCACGGACTACACGAAAACAGAGCTCTCTGGACGCAGAAGGACTAGGACTGCGCTTTACAATGCCCTATTTGCCGTTCCCCGTTGAACAGTTTCAATTGAAAAATGGTGAATTATTGTAGATAATATTGATTTTAATAACGTGCAAGAACTAATACTTGGGATTTTGCCCTCGAAGAAAAAGCACTGGTCTTTAAGTGCTAATTATATTTTGCTAATTATATTTTGGAATGTATCCTCCCATTATTCTTGAGGAATAACCTCATCAGAATGGTAGAAACGGAGAGATGAGAGATGGTTTGTACCGGGCCAGGTGATAGCATGCATGCTTAATTCAAAAATCATTTAAAGGTAATAGGAAAATGTATTTATAATATATATTATTTAATATATATAAAATTTTGTTTCAGTAAGGAGAAAACATTAGAAATTTTTTTTACTCCTATTCATATGCTTATGTGTTAAAATTTCTGGCAAAACTTCAGCAAATATTTCTAGTTTCTGTTGTAATATGTTTGACTTTATTTAGGGAACATCTTGATCCTTAAAGTTTATGGGTAAGTATGTAATTATAGTTGGTGAAAATTCAGAAATGGGAAATTAACAGTACACTACAAATGGGGTCTTATTAATAATGGCTTACATTTTGGCTATTTATCAGAATATTTGTTGAGTAAGTTGTATGGAAATTATTACATATTTGATATTCAAAGTAGTAACCAATTTGTGGATAAGCATATGGTTGTTTTTAATCCATCTAACTTTGATTTAGGAGGGATACCATTTGAAAGTGCTAAATATGCACATGGTGATTTCTTTTCATCAATGACTACTAAGCTATTATATAATTACGAAGCATGCCCTACCTATACCAGGTCAGTTAGTGGTCACATTACATTCATCACGCTTTTTATAATTTTCTTCATAATTGCATGAATCATTTCTCTAATGGTATCTTGTTTAGATGTATAACTAAAAATAATTGAATTTCAATATAAAAACTAATGTAATAAATTTGATTACAATGTAGGCAATTATATATAAAAGTCAAATGCTTTACATGATATCCCCGTGGTTCTGACTTCATATAGTTTGTGTCTTCTGGATTTGCCAATATAATCTTTCATGGGTAAGAAAAATATTTTACCCTTTTACATTTCAAATAATTTTTAAATTATGGGAAGCATGGATCCAATAGCTTAATGTAAAGTTTCAAATAGGGTTAAATTATCCAACCAGAACCTCAAATTTTATATTTTACGGAGCTTAGAAATAAATATGATAGCAAAAGCAGTTACTATTTGATATCATAGATTGAGTTAATGTGACATTACATTTCCTCACGGCCCTAGAAACCTCTATTACGTGCTGAATTTTATTTCTGCATATATACCTTATTATACTGAACAGCTGACACTCCTGGTCTGAGAAAGTACTGTACGCGGTAACCTAATTCTATTTCTGCTGCATAGATGAACAGGTCCAGTAGCAATCAGCTGATTTGTGACCCGGCTTCCCAAATATGGTGGATGACTAGCCCCCGATTCCTTGCCGCTACCATACAAAACGAAATCCTAGGTGAGTTTGCAGTTTAAGCTGTCTCTTAGGTTTGACAAAGCGTCCTTTTCTGAGGAATTCAGATTGGCATCCTTTCATGGGGAAAGAGAGGAGTCCTTATTGAATTTTGGTCATTAGAAGCTTTTTGTTTTGTTTGCATCAGAATGGTACTTTTATTTACAAATTAGCAAAGGAAAGGTAAGACTATGTCTACTGTTTTATTAGTTGATCTGGAAATGTATTTACAAAATCATTTAAGAAGTTACTGTGATTTTTAAAAAATGTTTTTTTTCATACCAAGGTGAGAGCCTTAATGAAAAGATGCTTTTTATTACTAAAAAAAAAAAAAAAAAAAGCAAATACATAGAATAGTATTATTGGTAGTGACAAAACAATAAATATTGGTATTTGAACTGTGGTATAAGGCTGGCAAATAAAAATATAATCAGCCACATAAGTGATGCCTTCTTTAAATATTTGAGATCAATATAATGGTTGTCATCAATCGCATAACTGAAGTCATTTATTTGCCTAAAACATAATAGCAAATAAATATTTTAAACTGGAGCCGTAATTTAGTCATAATCTGAATAGCTCAATTATCTAGGCGTTATAGACTATCATGCATAGACTGAGTTTAGTTAGAATTTTTTAAAAAAGAACAGACTGTAAAGAAAGAGTTCCAGATAAAATAAACCTCCCCCCTGCCCCAAATCATTTAAAACTAACAACACTGACATTTTATCTGGTTCGTAGCCACAAAAGTCGTTCAGGTAAATGTTGCCATTCTAGAAACCATTGCAGACTCATCATTCAGGCTTCCATTGTCAGGCGGATAACAACCTACACGTTTGTTTTATTTCCCTCCCTTTACTTATTTAACCTGGAAATAACTTCTATTTTTTATTTTCCCCAGACCTGTCAATTGTTATATTCGGGGGAAAAAAAATTTTTTTTTTTTGGAAAGTATCGCTTCCCCAAGTTTCAGGGCCTGGCGGAAAAAAAAAAAAAGTTTGGAAAAGTATAAAAGATAACGTGTAACAACTCCCCAAAGCTCGTAATTGGTAGCTGCTGTAGCGAGAGATGTGTTGACAGTGTCTCGAGAAGTTCTTCTGACACAGCTGTTTATCCTGATAGCGTGGGGCGCGTTCATACATAATAAA